GAGAGAGAGAGAGAGAGAGAGAGAGAGAGAGAGAGAGAGAGAGAGAGAGAGAGAGAGAGAATGTATCTCACATATGTATATAAGAGACAGAGAACTGTTAGAATCTTCATGACCGTGGCAATGGTGAACACTGGGGATTTCGTGATGGGTTTCAAAGCCTTGTACTTGTTACTTTGAAAGTTAGAGGCCAAATGTGATATTGATACACGGGGAAAGGCCCCTGTAGGCTATGTACAGCCCTCTGGTACAGCGGTGTATTTATACTTAAAGTGACAGAGGGTCCAAATCCTTCAGGTTTTACTGGGCGAAGTTAAAGGATTGCCTTCAGTGTGAACTAGTCTCGGGAAGGGCTGCAAGATGTGGCTGGAGACACTTAGTACCAAAATAATAAAATTTGAAAAGAAAGCTCTGTCTGAAGAAGTTGCTTGACAGAATGGCAGTCTCACGAAAGGTCTGTTTTCCGACGCCTAGAGTGTAATGTTAGGTTGAGTGTATTTTTCTATGTCAAAAAACTTATTTGTCTCTGGAGACCTTTAAAATTTGATTCCTCAGAAATGAAAGGAATAAATGTAACCTTCATTTCCTTTGGATATTTGAAGGTGAGTCCCTCCTATCAGCAATAAAAGGATTTCTGACATCTAGTAAAACCAACACTTACAGGGATTTGAAAGAAAATTAAAGCACTAGCACGTTTGGGGAAATGTATGGAGCAAATCTGTACAGAATCCAAACCTTATTGAATATCACAGCTAAGCGTAAATCTAATCAGCTGTATGCGGTGCTTAACATTTTCCAAGCACATTCAACATAGACTAAAAATGAAGTCACCTTTAAGCCATCCCGCGAATGGTCTGCAGTAGATTTTCAATACTTTTAATTACCAACACCGCCAAAATGATCAAACCCTTATGGACTTGCGATTTCAAATGTCTTGTGTATACACACAGAAGTATATATTGTGAAATTGGAATCCTGCATTTCGCTTCCCTGACAAGCTTCCAATAGTGCATAGGAACTATTGGGGGAAAAAACATCCAACAGTAGCCCTCCCCCCCCCCCGACATTAACCGCTGTACGGCGATTAATAGTTTCTTCTCTTCATCTAATACAGAAAATATCACCTATTTAAAGTACCAGAAAATCCTACACTTTATGCCTGCGGAGCATCGATTTGGGAAGGGATGCAAATTGCATTTTAATTAACAAGATAGGAGATTGCCCCTTTAAATATTATGTCCAGGTTTCCTGCTCTCAGCCTGTATCTGACATTAGGAACAATTTCACCAAACACTATTTACAGTGTGGAGACCAAGTGCTGTTCTCCGTTACCCCAGCGTCATTCCCCTGAAGTCAGTTAGATGGCACGGGGACAAATGAGAGAAGAATGTGTCGATGCGCTCAGATTTGTCCCGACAGAGGTGCAAAGCCCTGCAAAGTGTTACGGGGCAGGGCTGCATTTCGGCAAAGAAGCCCCTATTTGCTGCTTCTAAGAAGTACATTTTGGGGATACTTTTTTCTAAACCATTTGGCTCCGCTTCTAAAGCTAAAGCGTCACAATGTAAAGGTATAGCCATTAGGTTTAACATTGTTTTCTTAGCGTGAATAACTGTATCTGGATGCACTTAAACTCCAGAGAACATGTAAAAGATTCTAGTCCTTCCTTCCAAAAGTAAACAGAAAGGATGAATAGAGAGAAGGCCCGGCGTCATCATTTAAGTTAACCTTTGCTAACACACGAGGAAAAAAGTATTTAAACTCTCCAAAAACCCGTACATGGGAAATGTTTGGGTACACATACAGAGTGCGGTCTGTTAATGTATTGGCTGCATAGACCATGGTGTATATATCAATGCCAAGGCCTACGGCGTGAGATCTAAATCTTTGGAGGATTCGTCCAGGTATTTTCAAGGCTGGAGTATATCAATCACAGTACTTACACAGAACTATCTTTACAATAGGATACCGTTTGAAATATGGGAGCTGTAAATGAACATACGGATGGAAAAGCAGCCAGCACAGGGCTGATCTACAGAGAGTTTTTCGCATTATTCGTCCCCATTCAGCCTCATTAAAAGCTTCCCCTCTATCTGAACCTGGTTCAGGTGTATGTACCCCCAGACACTGTTCCTTTGAAACTTCAAGAGCATTAACATTTGCTGAATAAACTAGGCTCCTGTCAATTAAGACTGTATATGTGGGGCTGATGAATGCCCCTGCTGATCACCAGTTAAAAGTATCTCACATGAGATAGTCAAAATTCCTTAAGTTTAAAAGACATAAAGTCCTACATGAAATGTTCTGGAAATAAGGTCTCCACGGGGGTGGAAATACAGGCTGGTCTGTATTGGTGAATATACTTGTTTATTTTAACTTGCCGTGTATTCCTCACTAACTAGGTGTTATTGGTCCCACTCTCCCTTAGTATATTTTTCATCTTACCCCTTTAAAACCCTCTGAAGTGGACCATTAACGGCACATTAACAACTTATTTTTTGTGTGCGTCAAAAAAAAAATCAAGGAATATAAACGCGGTGAACGATTATAGCACATCAAAACTCTCAGTCTTTTTGGTTAGTGGTGTCAAACCCAAACTGAAGGGACACGAAGTGCAAACGAGCAAATAATAAGGAAGCCCCAATGCGTAAGGGAATTCAGGGCCCTGCGATGTTTAAGGCCAGCGATCATCTGGGTTTCCCAGCTCGGACCGGAACCTCCTTTTCAGGACTTGAGAAAATCAGAACTCGGCGGTCCAAAGTAAGGGCCCAGTCCTTGCTCGGGGGAAAGAAAAGCAAAAGCTCGCAGTGACTTTGGTGAGGGGAGTTTTTGCCTGGGTACAGACCGCAGGCTACGAAGGGGCTGGGCACAAGGGTAGCTAGACAAGCACCGGGAGACAGTAGCCGTGCGAGAAGGGGGTACTTACTCGTACCTTTCCTTGGCCTCAGCAGCACGGTCGCGTTGCCTCCGGTTTTTAAACCAGTTGCTGACTTGGGTGGTGGTGAGCCCGGTAGCCTCGGCCAGCTCCCTCTTCTCCCGAGGGGACGGGTAGGGGTTGTGGGCATACCATTCCCGCAGCACGCTCCGGCTCTTCTCCTTAAAGCAGTAGCTGGTTTCCTCGCCGTCCCAGATGGAGCGGGGCAGGGGGAACTTTCTGCGGACCCGGTACTTGCCCACTGCCCCTAGGGGTCGCCCCCGCAGCTTCTCCGCCTCGATGTAGTGCGCCTTGAGCCAGAGCTGCTGGAGCTTGGGGTGGTTGTGAGCAGAGAACTGGTGGCTCTCCAGGATCTTGTAGAGCTCGCGGAAGTTGCCCCGGTGGAAAGCCACCACGGCCTTGGCCTTGAGGACGCTCTCGTTCTTGTGGAGGTGCTCGCAGGCAGGTAGGGACCAGAGGAACCGCCCCAGCCTTTCTATATTGCCCCCCTGCTGGAGCACTTCGCAGACGCAGGCCACTTGCTCTTGGGTGAATCCAAAAGTGGGGAGCATCGACATGGTGGCCTTTCCCCCTCCCCGATCTAAATCATCGGACTTGTACAAAGCGGCCACATAGACCTGAACGGACAGACCGCGAGAGAAGCACCAATCATGGATGTATAACCCACCCGAGCGGCTACTTACGCTCCGGCACAAGTCACAGCTCGGCTCTGCAGTCGGCAGCCATCAGCAGCTGAGCGTAAAAAGGATCAAAGGCGGAGACCGAACGTGAAAACTTTTTTGTAAGTCCAAGTTCGGAGAGTAACTTTGTGCCTCTATTGTCTGGTATCAGCAGCGCTCACAGTGGTGGTGTCTTTCCTCTCCCACCCCCACCCTCCTCCGCCGGGTTGGGATCTCCCTTTTTTTCGCCCCCCTCCCCCTTCACTGTAGGATTCAACATAATATAGTGGTTAAGTCCAGCTCCCCCTCTTGTCTCTCCTTTCTCTCCTCCTCTTCTCTCTGTTTTTTTAAATAATATTATTCTAAGCTGGCATGAAAAGTGATTATCCGCGCTCTGATTGGTCCAGTTATCCGACCCGGGGACTGCCAGGAGAAGACAATAGTTTTAGTCAAATTATTTGCCATGGTGACGCTGTCAATCAGAGGTAACCTGATCTGTTTTGAGGTGGCTCCCCGGCTGGGTTGACAGATTGCTCTGATCCACTCAGAGGCGGCCCTGCGAGCTGAGATATTAGCAAGAGAGAGAGAAAGAGAGAAATTTCCGCGGTGATTGACGCAGCAAACACCCACAGAGGGAGGGAAGGAGGGAGGGCCCGCCAGAGAAAGCGTTCTGGTCACAGACGCTCACCTCGGGGGCGCTGCAGCACCAACACGTCCCCCAGCACTTCTGTCTTTGAACCCTCCTTGCAATCAAACTCCTGCGAAAGCCTCTTACAGATCGCTCACATTGGGTAAAACATTGGAGGCAAAATTAATCCATTGTTTGGGATCGGGAGGAAATTGAGTTCTCGCTGGGTTTCAACTGCCACAAGGAGTTTCCTTATCAGTAAGATTTGGGGTTATTTTTTTTAAAGTGGGTAGTTTTATAAATATTAAAGGTCCCATATGTACAACGTAGACCCAGTTTTTTTGACCCATGATCCCATTTACACACTAACTAGACTTAGCCCCGGGCGGCTGGAGCGAGGCAATTATTGTATTTGACTCTGAATTACCATATATTTCAAAGTCAACTATCAACAACCTTTAAATTGAAGTTCCAGCTTGCGATAACTTAATAGCAGCAATACATTTCATTCGGTGTATATACTTCTACTTTAAAAGAGGGGAATGTTTATACATCTAGGGCTATGTTATGTAGCCACAAGAAGTGCTAAAGTTAAGGGTAGAAAACACTTTCTAAAGCAGATCTTCATTTCCCTTGGAAGTCTTAATTTGCAGACTCTTCGGGGCATGGATTTAGTCTTCACATATTTGTGCACGTCTGTCTATCTGAGGGGATCAGATAGGGAGATTGGATAGATGAACTAGGGACTAGATGTAAACTATCCACTGTAGAAGAATAACTTGGTCAGATACATGAATAAATGTAGGTTATACACTTTCAGGTGCTCACACACATTTCTGTATCCTTTTAGCGGTTGACAACTAAGCCACTTTTTAAGGTGCAGAAAATTCCCTGTCTCGCCCAGCTCAGTTCCAGCTGGAGTAATCTCCCTAGGGTATTATTTCTCACAATACTTTATTGCACCAAAAGCGGGCACTTTTCAAGGCAATTAATCTGTTCTCCCTTTTAGGCCTTTGGGGAAAGCGCCTTCCACGCCACCTCTAACCCCAGCCTGTGAGAACACCAGAGGGCTCCGCAGTTGTGGGCTCCTCCAGCGATAAATAGTTAACGCGGGTTGCCCCCACCCCATCCCTTGCCTCGGTGATTTAGGTGACGAGCGAGGAGAGACCCAGGGACCCCCCAATCCTCACCCCATCTCTCAGTCCAACCCCTCCGAGTTGAGGGGCCCCCGGAAGTGGAGTGAGGCTGGCAGGTCGGGATGAGCCGAGGAGCAGGAGCAGTGGTGGCGGCCGGGAGGCAGGCAGGCAGGCCAGCCTGGAGCCGGTTTTAGGCCTGCCGGGATTGGTGTATTCCCCTTCAGTGAAACTGACGTGGTGGACCTGGGAAAGCGATGCTGGCGGGTCATCCACAAGCAGCTCGCCGGCGGCGGCGCCGAAAGGCCAAGCTAACTAACGCTAGGGGAAGGGGCGGCAGCAGGGTCCGGCTCCGAACCTGCCCCTGAGCCGCCCAGGGGACGGACAAAGACCACCAGCTCCGTGCAAAGTGGGTCCTACCCTTTGCAGCCAAACTCCTGCTGTGCCCTGGAGTGGATCGGCTCACGCTGCGAGCCCGGGGTGTACGCCACACAGCCGCCTGGTTTTTTTTTTGCAGAGCGAACGCGAAAAGAAGACGTGAAGTGGAGAGAGCATAGGATCTTCACTCATTTTAACAACATCCCCTGTCAGGAAGGAAACCTGCTGCTCCCGCTTTAGATCCTTGTTCATCGCTCTCTTTTCTGCGTCCCCTGCTCCTTTATTTCTGTTATTCGTGTGAACAGGAGTTGGAAACTCCATCTGTTTTTACCTGTGCAATATTTTCAGGAGGGTTATAAATCGGGAATCCACAGCAAATGTCTCGAATTTTGCTAAATCACAGAACGTGAATGCAAAATATAGGGTTCATCTAGAGGGTGAAATAGATCAATTCAGTTTAAAACAAGACAACGGGCTTTTAAAAGAACCATTTCGCATACTTTTTTTGTTGTTGTTAAGTTTGAGCGCTCCACAGCCTGAGATTAATACGATGGCAATTTTTGCAGGATTCAAATTGTGTTTGTTGGCAAACAAAAGAATTCAGAGGTTAAGGTTTCATACTCAGTCTAAATGTCCGTGTAGCTTGTAATACAGGCTGTATCGTAAAATCATGAGATAGTAGGATCCGTTTCCAAAAGTTATTCAAAACAGAACAGGAACTATGACTGAAACACACATTCTCCTCCGCCCCCCTTACACACACAGAGTGCGAGAGCATTTTAAATGAAAGAACATGGTATTATTTAGTCCCTTCTCCTCAATTAAAACTGTGGGGAAAGATAAAAGAACTAGAGAGGTCTTTCCTCCTCCCATTTCTGTTGTTGCAAATTTATGAGGATATACCTGACTTTGCTTTCCTCTGCTTGAATCTTATAACCACAGCAGCTGAATTTGAATGGGGAGCAGAGAGCAGCTGTTCACCCTAGCCGGAAGGGAGATGTCAAAACCTGTTGTATGGACTTAGATCTAAGAAAGTCTCTTCTTTAGCACCCTACAATGTGAGTACAGAGACTACACGCAGGGCCCTCCATAAGCACTTTCACTTTACATTAAGCAGACTGCCGTTTGGATGTAATGCGATTTCATTTCCCAATAGCTGTGGAAACTTAACGCAATTCTATTAAGTGGTATGAATCAGCTTGCATTTAAACGCAATTGCAAATTAGTGGCACGTATATTTAAAATGTGCACAACCGTGTTTGGTTTTCAGAAATCTTCATATATGTTGGAAGAAATCAGCAGAAAGAGAATACCAAAAACCATACCATCAGGCAATTAAAACCCCAATGATTTGTGAGACTCAAATGAGCAGAATAACCCTCTTTGTATTCTCAAATGAGCTTTCATTAAAATATATTTTAAAGCAACATGCGCAACCAAGAGTGGGAAAATATTACATGGCCATTAAGAGTTGTATGCTTGTAGCAAAAGTTAGGATCTATTTCAAATCTCTTTCCTTGAATCGCTCTCAGTGGCTTGGAGATCCTCACATTTTCATTCCAACCAGACATTTGGATGTGTAATTAGCAAAAGTTCTTTTCAGAAAGGATAAAAAATTGTGCATAACAATTGTTAATTACAAAATATTCTATTAGACCATCAGAGTGTAAACAGGTCACTATGAAATGTAGATATGCTGGATGAAGTAGAACGATCTGTATTATCAATATGCTGCTTTTATAATCCGTCCCCGATCTAGTCTGCCTTTAAGATCCCGATTACGTCACTTTATAGAATACATTTATTTTACATGAGCTGATCTGTGTTAATAAAATGATTGCAATAAAATAAAATGAGCTACAAATACTGCAGCTATTTCAATGCCAGCTTTTCTTCTCGGTGATGCCTACATCACTCACTTTAGAAGCTAATATTTCTTTGAAGTTGCAGGCCTCTGATATTTTCTCTGAAGACATTAACTGATTCACTTTATCGCCTATATCGAGCAATAATACATTTTTCTGCAAATATTTATACTGTATATATGTCTCTACGTCTATTATCTATATCTATTATATACAATGTATCTATTCTATGGTAAATAGTTTACTATAATATATCATCATATGTAGATAAATAATATATGACTACATATAATATAGATGCAGCTATATAGATATAGTTAGACATAGATAGATGTAGGTAGATTTACAGATAGAGATATCACTATAGAATTCTCTTATTGGATGTTTACAAACTTTTAGGAAGACGTGAAGAAAATAATATATATCATTAATTATATTTCCCAATAACCTTTCTTTTTGTATGTATGGATAGAAAGAAACTCTCTTGGTAACTTTTAAAACTAATAATATTCTGATTAGATGAACGTGTAGGCAAAAAGCCACAGGTATACCGTGTAACTTACAAGTACAAGGAGGAAGAAAACATATCCAAATAATTTCCGTTCAGGGTATTCTGATCAGGTTTTTAAAGGAACAATTCCTTTGACAGGGCCACACGGTGCCGTAAATTGTTAAGTGTAATTCCCCTTACACTCAAAGGGAGAGACGTGCTAGAAATGGATAAGAAGATATTGCCTGAAATATTTACCGTCCGACCCTTGGTTTCTTTCTTATGAAACCGAACGAGCTCGGCCAGAATTTTGGGCTTACGTTGTCTCCTTCGAAACCTAGGTAAATGTATTTGCTTTATTTCTGCTCTGTCCCTAAACCAACGAGCTAGGAGCCGCTCTGAACACTTCTCAGATTATCAGGGCCCGGTCCTGCAGTCCTTTCTGTGGCAAAACTGCCCGTCAAATTCAAGGGGGGGGTTAGGACTGGGCGGAATGCACCTTCGAACTTTTTTTTCCCCGCGCAGGTCTGTGCTATTATAGGTTGCACGTAGTGGGACAGCTGAGATCCTGACCCCACTGGAAAATCAAAACATGTCAGAGGACCATTGCCAGCAACTAAATAAAAACAAACACAATAGGTTGTTGTTTCGTTTAGTTTTTTATTTATTTTCGTACAGGAAGAATTCAAAGCTTTTGCTACGCTTCAGTGTTCTGTTCCTTAAGGGGACAAGGATTTTAGATATGTAGCGGGTAACTCGATTATGCTAACAAACGTCCCTTGAAAGAAGAAAAGGCTGTTGAACTGAGCAGAGGGGGGATGTGAAACTGGATTCTTTTTGGGGGGCTTGGTGGAGGGAGGTCCGCGGAAGGATGAATCCACGAGCGGCGTTTTCCCAATTTAAGCGAATGGCCGTTGTACATTATTATCATTGTTTTATTGTTAGTTTTTGCGGGGAGCCTTAGCCCAAGGAATGTATGTTTCTGGTGCAGGAGCTCAGCTGATCCTTTCCAGCGCACAACTGTCTAACAGCAGGATGGGATGACTATGATGACTGAACACAATGCATTAGTGAAGAGTGGGGCCTGATACAACGAGACCAGCGAAGCTGGCCTCACTGAACTGATGCTGCAGTGTCTCCTCTCCCCGCCTTCCCCTATGAAATGAGACTCCTGAAGTTCGGGCTTGCTGTTCTGAACACAAGCCAGAGTAACCTCTAGTGCTCCCCGTGAAACCCAACCGCCCCAGGTTAATGTGGTCATTCTTGATTAGCTTTTCATTAGCCCCTTTACAATCTCGGGAGGAGAGGGATACATTTGAACACGCGGAGTTCATGTGTTGTTATTTTAGCTCTATTTGCCAGAGTAAAAGTGAAAAGCCACACAATTTACGTGAGCTAGGCTGGTCGGCACAAACTAGAAAGGCGATGGTTAGTCAAACCCTGTGCTGCTGCACCGTTTGCTGAAAGCACTCGAACTAAAGTAAAACAACACCCCTGTAGACCAACAACTACTTACTGTGTATCATCAAACTACTGCCGTGGTTCAAGGCAGGCGCTCAGCTCTAGGAAACATGCATCATTAGCACGGTACCAAATTCCTAAGGTTATAAACGGCAGAAGGAGCCTCTCTCTCAGCAGTTTACAGTGTTACAGAGAAGACAACAACAACAACAACAAAAAGCACATATGGTTAAAATGAGGAGAGTCCGCTTTCTGCCTCGGGGGCTTGGCAGTAACCCGCCAGGAAAGCAAAGCCTGGGATCTAAGGTTCTGGTGGGCTTCTCCAGGACTGACAACCTGAAGCAGCTACAGGGATCATTTGACAATATTTGTAAACTTCTTGTTTCCAGAGATCTTCTTGATCAGAGCTAGACAAGGTTGGTAAGAGCCCGAGCAAAGACTCTTGCTTTTTTCCCCCCAGGTTGATGAATAGCTATCAGGTTTCTTTTAATGGCTGCCCCCTATTTTCACAGCCTCCCACAACTAACCCATAAGCCTGTTTCCGCGACCTCAGTTAATTCCATTGATTATTCCAAGATGACGAGGAAAGCAGGAAGATTGTTGACTGTGCTTACTGATTCAGGGCATTTTTTTCTTAACATCCACATCTCTGGCTCATGTCGTTTGGGGGTTTCACTTTAGAGTACTTTAGGAATAGAAACCCCTGGCAGCTTACGGTTTTTAAAGTCTTGCTCGTTATATTTCAAATTCTCTGCATTGTCGATCGGGGGGGAAGCATATTATAATGTGCATGCAAGTGGTCTGGGTAGCTGGTTTGAATTGTGTTTACCAGGGAAGGTCAGGACGAGGAGGGCTCGCTATTCCATGGTGAAAATGGGATAGTGCAGGTCAGTTGCTGCTATGGACCCCCTTAATAGGAAGGGGCAGCGCAAGCCGTGGTTTGCACTATTTACTCGTTTCTTTCCCAGATGAAAATGCCATATATCCAGAACGAAAACAATGAGCGGAGTACCATGTGTTCGCCAGCAGGCAGATGATGCCTAATAACCTGGCAAACAGAGCCGGTTTGGGTACCGTTGTAGTATAAGCACCCTATCTAGGGACTGTTGTACAACACCTTCTCAGCAGCGGGATTTCACAGATAGGTTGTTTCCCCCCTCTCCTAACATCAACATGTGGAGAGGAGATATAGCTAGAATGTTGCTTTAGATGATACTGGGAGCAAAAAG